GTGTGACTGTGGCTGGACTCTCCTGACCTTCTCTGACACTCCTGCTACGTCAGGATTGACCTTCTTTACTCTGCGTCTGTGCTGATTGGACGAAGGCCCAGCTGGGATAACCACATGTTTTTTAAACTTGTGTGTTTGCTGTCCCTGCCCACAGACACACACCATCACCGCGTTCATTACATTTTCAGAATCCAGTGAACAATCAGAACGTGTCTCAGATTAGTGGGAATGTGGGGGGGAAAACAGGGGAGATGCTCTAAAGTTAAATATGGGTTATCCCAATGTAGCAACAACAGAATACATGACTTCCAAAAGCCTGGAGCGGGCACATACGATGAAACATCTCAGCTGCCTCACACAGTGCTGCAGAGGCCGGAGCAGCACTAAGACTCGTCCAGTTCGTCTGCTGACATGATGAACGTGCTCCTTTGAATATGATGCACTAGCTGCTCAGAGACCAAACAAAGAGTCAGATAAGCCTGAACTGTCTGCAGCTGACCAGGGAAACACAGACACATGCTGCCTGTGTCCGAGCACCACAGAAGCTCCTTACAGGAACCTGTTGTTGAGCGAATAACGAACAGTAACTCTCAGATACCCGACGTGATGAGCCTCCACTCAGCCTCTACAAGCTCCTGATTGGCCGAGCAGCTACCTTTCCATGTAGCGAGCTGAGCTTTAGCTTTTGTAGGCAGACGTTCATGTTGGAATAAAAACAAACAGGGACTCTGTGTTCTTGTTTCTAATGAACACGTCGGGCTGTGACTGAGCCATGCAAAGGAAACCCAAACTAGCTTTTGTCTGCTTCACTAACACAAAGCATCACAGCTGGTGAGCAGATGTTGTGATGATAATATTCCTGTTGTTGTAGTGGTGACAGCAAACACAGACAACAGCTGTGAATCGTAGTTGGATCAACTTGCCTAGCAGGACTTTTGCGTCCTCGACATCGAAGTCTCCGTCGCCGTCGGTGTCGTACGCCACCAGTTTACCTACAGCGGCAGCAAACACAGACACACTCAGACACATCCTCATACATTAAACATGTGCTGACTGTAATTACTCTCATTTCATATGTTACAGAAATGACTTTAAAGGCAAATGTAAAAGTCAAACATGGGTGTAAACATGTTTCCTTTAGAGAATCACTGCTCCTACATGATGCCTGCGTTTATACGATCATACATGTACTGCAGCTGGAGACCAGTGTGACCAGTCACACCACTGACTCCAGCACAGACTCAGGCTGTGCACTCCTCCACCGATGTGTCCTTAGTGACCAGGGGGGGAGCCTCCAGCCTGTGTGGCAGCCTTGCTGCCTTCACTCCACCTTTCTCTACAGCTGCTTGCTGCACTGCTGTGGGCTCTGAGTGCTACATGCAGCGTGTAACTGTACACAGGTGTCAGTTTAGGTCGACTATAAAGGCCGTGTGTTTGTGTTTGTGCATGTGTGTAGTTCATGTTCTGTGTAGTGCTGCAGATGTGCCAAACGCCACACGGACAAACAGTGTGACAACAGTCATTTTTGTTCACATATGCAGAATAGACATTAGGAGTTTTTACCTTGCAATGCTTCAGACAGGTTAATTTGTAAGCCCTTAGCCTTATCTGCATGCAAAACAAACAAATAATAAAACACACATAATGTAACAAAGTCAAGAGATAAAACACAATCACATTTCACACACACACACAAGAATGGACCATTATCATTAACGCAGGCGGCTGTGGTCAAAGACAGCACGCCATGCTGCAGCAGCTTCAGCCTTCCTCTGCACGCGTCAACATGCAACAGGCAGAGTCTGCACCTAGCTTTAAGCTAGCTTATATAAATGCTGCTGTGATGGAACCATTACAAGCTACAGATGTATGCCTTCATTTCATCTGACTGACTTTAATGTGACTGGCTGTTCAAAGTGTTTGTTTGTTGAGACAGCAGCAGAGTGAGGCTCAGTACTAATAACTGCTGGTCTGAATGTAAAGCTCTGATAACGACAGTTAGACTGGTTCTTATTCCAGGTTTGCTTTAGGCGTCGTCTGTGAACGGATGACAACAAAAGCCAAACTGGTTACTGCCACACCTTCCCAGGAAGTTCCTCTAGGTGTGTGTGTGTGTGTGTGTGTGTGTGTGTGGGGTACCCACCAAGAACTCCCTGATAGTCGACCAGGTCAAAGTAGACCACAGCTACAGACGTCCAGACGCCCAGCAGGGCCAGCACGATGAACCAGGTGAAGAAGCTGCTGCCGCTGGAGTCGGCCTTCTTCCCGTTCTTGTTAGACGGCTGGCTTTTAGCATCTGGAAAGACACACACGAGATGTCAGGTTCAGCTGTGGCCCTCACATCGCAAACGTCCCCTTTACACACTCAGTACATTTAGAAGTTGAAGTACAGGGTGGGCTATTTATATGGATACAGCGTAATAACATGGGAATGGTTGGTGATATTAAAGTCCTGTTTGTGGCACGTTAGTATAGGTGAGGGGCAAACTCCTCAAGATGGGCGGTGACCATGGTGGCCATTTAGAAGTCGGCCATCTTGGATACAACTTTTGTTTTTCCAATAGGAAGAGGGCCATGTGACACATCAAACTTATTGGTAATGTCACAAGAACAACAATGTGCTTGGTTTCAACGTAACTTTATTCTTTCATGAGTTATAAGTGTAACTAATGATGAGAGCGAAACAGCAGTGAACACAGTGAGAAGCTTGAAGTCCTCCTGTGTGTTTAAGAAGCCCAACCACAGGCGTGAACACGTGACAACGTCAACTGTTCAAAGAAATGTTGAGGACAGTCTGAGCTTCGGACACATCCATAAACTGCCCTCATTTTGAAACTCTGAGCATGCTTAATCCCAGAAAACATGCCCCCACTGCCCCCCACACTGGGCACCGCCCGGCCCCCCACACTGGGTGCCCGGCCCCCCACACTGGGCGCCCGGCCCCCCACACTGGGCTGCTGTGGAGCGTGAACCAGAATGTTGCTTAAAAAAAGAAAGGGGAAAAAAAAGCAGATTTTAGCTCCACCCTTATTTCCCGGAGGTCACCACATAGTTGAGGTGTTTTGACACCATGCCCTTTCACCCCTCCCACCACTGTGTGTCCACTCAGAGGAAACAAACAGCAGGTCTGATCCTTCAGAGAAAGCTTGTGTGAGTGGGCCTGATTCTGCTGTTCTGCAGTAAATCGATAAGATTCAGAGCTCTTCTCTCTTCCTGAGGTTGTGAATCACTCGCATTCTCGCACCCTCAGATTTCTGACAGTGCTTTTTCCACAGCAGTCACAGTTCCCTGGTGTAAATACTGTCCCAGTGCTGTGTGTGTGGTGCTGGGACAGCAGAGTGTAGCCAAGGATCTATTCTTGGAGTGACAAAGACATGCTCGCTGTGACAACATGGTGGCAGAGAGCGAACAGGTGCTAACGTCCGCTACATGCTAGGTCAAACCTCGCACACTTCCTCTGCACACCTGAAACATGCAGGTCATCAAACCTGTGCTGTGACATCACATCTTTTCCTCTGCAGACGTTTGTGTGTTTGTGTGTCTGGATTAATCCACACGTGGGCATGAATGCAGCTGGGAGTGTGTATCTAACTCACAGCAGGCAACACAACAGCAAAGTGTTAGAAGACACAAGCTCTTCCTCAGTCACACATCTGGATCGCAGCATCTTAACACAGCTGGATGTTAAACCTGGACACTGACTGAACCCTCGCTCCTCTAGCAGGTATTAAACACTCAGCCGTCCACACAGGCCATGCTGTTTGGATGCTTTTGATTCGATAGCCTCACCTTGGTTTTCTGCAGCTAGCACTGCTGTAACACCAGGAGCAGACTCCAGGGTCACTGGATCACCCATCTATGGCGTATGGTGGACCAACAGGAGGTTAACTGGCCAAAAAGAAGCGTGCAGCCCAGCGACGGCGAATATCAGCTCAGCCGCTCCCTCTGTGTGGCCCCGCCCCCTCTCTCTGTTTACTGGCTTTCTTTCTGTTGCTCATCATGTGTGCCATTCTTCTCTCGGAGACGATATGGCTTCTAGAGGTCACACACAGCTATTAATAGTGCTGTTAAACCCGCTGGCCCTCGCACAGAGAGGGGAGGACATTAGTTAAAGGCTCCCTGCCTGATATTGTGAACTTTAAAATCCTCCATGTTTACTTTGCAGAGTGCTAACTGGACCTGCACAGCACCTCAGGATTCTTACAGTGCAGTAAAACAAGGTCATGGATGTCAGAGCAGACAGCTGCAACACGTCGCACACGTAACAAACACGCAACTACATGAACACAGATATTTGTGCCACTGCATGTAACTGGGAACAAACCACTGCACAAATCACGGGCTTGTTGGTTCAAATGAAACTCCAACCGTCAGCATGGACTCAGATCAAACTGCCATGAACTGAACTGAGGGGGTTACGAACGCTACAGATAAACACAGCGTGCATCAGTCATGGTCATCAGGATGGTTGTTTTTCTCATAAACTGGTTTCAGTTGGTTTGTTCTACTGTAACATGTCCAAATACTAACTGTGCTTTTTTATGTCTGACAACTTAAACATCGACAAATTCAAACTATAATGGATCCAAACGTGGTGTGGCCTCCACAACAGTCCCAGTTTCTGCTCCGCTCCCATGGGCAAGTGAGCCGCTGCCTGAGCTGGAGCCAAGTTAATGAAGCACGTGTTGTCAGCAGCGTCAATCAGGGAGGGGCTACTCTTGTCAAAGGTTTCAACAATCATCAGGCTGTTGATTAAAAAGCTTCATACGCTGCAGCATATTCATTTCTCCTCGCTGAGTTAGGGTCTCCTTAAAATCGTCTCCTTACATATGAGATGTTGAACAATGAGGCCCCGTCACATCTAAAAGACCTGCTGAGGGGCTTCCAACGATGGCCATCACTGTAGTGCACGCCATGTTTCCTTGTGTCCTATGCTCTTCTCTTTTCTCTGAGCTTTTCCTCTGCTCCCTTTACTTCCCATGTGTTTATACTCGTTAATAGTTATTAAACTCTCGCACCCTTTCCCATAATGCATGTTTTGACCTGTCTCCCGTAGTCGTCTTCTCCTCACCCACAGCTGGTGGCAGCACATTACAGCCCCTCCCTGAGCCTGCTTCTGCCTGAGCTTTCTCCGCTGTTGTCGAATGCTTCTTACAGGGATCGCCTGATTGTTGGAGGATATCCGTACACTACGACGGCCCAGGTCCCTACCACATGGTAAATGAAGTAGATCTTATGTTTAAATGAAAGCCCCATAAAGACTCCTTTATAAACTTTAGTAAATGCATGTTTGTTAAGTTAATGAATATTTGTCTTTAATAATGAAGTCTACCAAAATAAAAGCAGGCATGCTGCATTGTGTCTTTGGAAAACACAGCCCTCTTCCCAGCTGCAAGTTAAGCTACGTCAGCAATTTATCAGATCGTTTCTCCACCCGAGGCAGGAGCAACCCCACATAACTTCACCTAGTGAGCCACAGGTGCCACTCTCACAGCCAACACAGGAAAAACGAGCTTTCACAAAGGCT